CGGGGAGCACTGGCCCCAGATGCACAGCTCCAGCCCTGGCCATGGAAACAGGCAGATGCGGAGCTCTGCCCAGCTGTGGAGCTCCAGCCGTGATGCAGCAGGCTGGCAGCATTTAGAGATGAAATACCTGGTGAAATCGGTGCCAAAGAAATATGGCTCCATGCGGGTGAACGGTACTGACTGCGGCCCTCTCTCGGTGCCAAACGGTGGTGTCTATCTGGTACCGAGGACAGCATCCGTGCTGAGGTTGCTGTAGACACCGGAGGCACCGTGGGTGCCGGAGGTACGGCAACCGGCTCCGGTGCCGGGCGTTCAGGCAGCGGGGCATCGGCGCGTGGCTTCTTCAGTGCAGGCATGTTGCTTCGGTGCCAATCAGTTGGAACCCAGACCAGCTGTTACCGGTGCCATAGGTTGCTGTGCTGCTGGCCTCTGCTTCAGCTCCGAGTGGGCTCTCTTATGAGTCGGCACCAACTTACGTGGCACCGTGCCCAAAGTCCCCAGTTTCTCTCTGGTGCTGACCCGTGCAGCCGTCGGTGCCGAGGGTAGCGAAGGAGTTGGGGGAAAGGCCAGTTTTCGAGGCTGCATGGCCGGAGTGGTTAGAGGGACGATTTTTATCCACACCCTTACTCTGTGCCGCTGGTTTAGGAGCCACGGGAGAGTCCTTAGAAGACAGGCGAAGGGACTTCTCGTAAAGGAGCATCTTGAGTCTACTGGCTCGGTCACAGCGTGCTCTCGCAGTGAGTTTAAGGCAGTGGGAGCACTTGTGTGTCTGGTGTGCTTCTCCCAAGCACTTTATACATTTAGAGTGTCCGTCAGAGACAGGCATAGCATCATGGCATGCCTCACATTGCTTAAAGCCGGGCATGAGGCGCCTGGGGGAAAAGTAGCGGGCCACAATAGAAAAAAAAATTCTCTCAACAGGCTGGGTAAGGAGAAAAGGGCTAAAAAACTTGGATGCTGAGGAAAACTAGGGAGTGGAACAGGTTTTTTTAATCTATTTTTAAACAGAAAACGAGGAGAACTCAGTGGCTCCATCTGCTGCCGAGGACAGTAGAGAAGAAACTGAGGAGCCGTGCCGCGCAGGTGCCTTAGGATTCCAACAGCACTAGAGGGCACTCTGGTGCCTGAGCAACGTGGCAGAAACGGCTGGAAAATGTCTCCGGCGCGAGGATGCACCAGCATCCAGAGTGGAGCACCCATGGGGACCACTCGAAGAAGAATCAAAATTACCAATCATGTCTCATTTGAGTATTTATGTAAAGAAAAATAATTTTCTAAGTACTCCAAATTGTACCCATTTTCTAGAAAGAGGCAAAAATGCACAGAAAGACAATAGCATAGGGAGTTCTGGACCCAGTTGCAGAGCTCAGTCCTGTGTTCTAGCCCTGGCTCCGCAACTCCAGCCCCAGCCACGGAGCCAAGCAGCTGCTGAGCTCCAGTTGTGGTACCCCCACCCCGGCAGCAGTGGGCTGGCAGCATTTAGAGGGCCACGGGGGCAGGTTGGACCTCTCCCCTGGTGGCAGCACAGGCCAGGAGGGGAGGGATCTTCCCTGGTCCGGCAAATCCCCTCATTTGGGACCAGTAAGGTCCCCAGGGTGCCAGACCAGTGAGATCCAACCTGTAAAACATTTGCAAAAGAGCCTCAAATCGTACAGACAATGGTCTCCATTTCAGGCCATATTGTATTAACATCTGCTCCTCTCTTCTAGTTTGTTCCCCCTCTCACAGAAGCTTTGGGAATACGTTCCTACATCTCATTCATCTTACCTTGTAGCAAATGCTGGCTGCACTTCATGAGGGTTGCGGCGGTCAGACCAGAAGAACAGCAGTCTATCAAATTTGGGTTCGATATCAGCAAACTGAGCTTTGCCTTCTGGGAATATTCGAAGAATACCTCCACTTACCTATTTGATTCAAAAAACAAACAGTCTTAAATATTTACCTTTGTATTTTAGATATATTGACAATGCACAGCCTCAGTCATAAATGTCAAGTCTTCTAAAATTAAAGTGTTAAGGATTTTAGTAGATTATGAAAATATGTGAATCAACTGGATGGTTATAGGTTATCATGCTTCACAGAGACTAACCCTCAACTTCTGTTTCAAAATAAAAGGGTTTTTTGTTTGTTTTTTAACCAATACCCATTAGAATAAGGAAGTGAGAGATGTTAAAGTGGTGACCACAACCACCAAACAAAAAGACACAGCCCAGAATAGCAGAGTTCTAATTCTCAGTGCCAATAGGTTTTGCGCTCTCTCCAAGAGCAATTATTGATTTTCTAATAAGCTTAAAAACAGTAAGGAAGTGATGACTCTTCTTTAACTGGGTCTTTGGCCTTTGGAGCACTAATGTGTTTGTTTTTTTTAAAGCCACAGAGAAGGGGCAATCTGGATAGCTTTGACTAAGACTCTTAAGAAAACCATGATTTTTAAAAGCAAAGTCATCCAAATGTTCAACCATACATTACAGCTTGAAGAATGCAGTCATGCTAAACCAGACTAGAAGTTACTTTTTAAATAAAAGAGGTTTACTATTTTGCATAGAGGTGTCAGAGGTGGAGGCTTTGTGGGCTTCCCCCAATGTGGCTACTTACATCCACTCCAACTCAGTTTTCAGATCTTCAAACTGTACACAAGTCTACTATCTACCCCACAGGGAAGTAGTGTGAAGTAGACACTGTAATGTAAAGCCTCTTGAATATGAAAATTATCATCACTGAACTCAACTGTTACCAGTTAAGTGCAGAGATCTGCACATGAGATCTGACTGGTTTATATTCCTCATTTCAGGTCTCTCACTTTTAAGGTGTTAAACAATAGAACTGTACTGGATTAATCATATGATTTTTCAAACAATCGCGAGTGACCTTTTCTTCTCTACATAACAATAGGGAAATAATCTCTGTATACCTGACTGCTCCCCAATGCAATCTTTAGCAAAGTCTGAACTCACGTTATTAGCTCTGAATATCTTGTACAGCTACACTGAGCCATGATTAGCTATCTATACTGCCACAGTGATTACCACCTCTAAACAGGTTATTCAAGCCCCAAATCCTAGAAAATAAATTCGAAAACTACTGGCTAAAAGCAAAGTGGAGATTTCTATCGGGCACTGCACACAATGATCAGAACAGGGATAGCTACCGCCATGGTATCTCAACTACTTTGAATCAGGGATGTTAAATTTCATTTAATCAGCTAATTGAGTAGTTGAATTTCCATCAACTACTCAATTATTCAATAAGGGGGGAACTGCAGAGCTGCTGCAAGGTTAGCTCCTGGCCCCAGGAGCTAACCCCACTGTGCCTCTGCCTTTTAAATGTATAACATCCTCCTGGCTCTTACTACATTTAAAAGGCGGAGGCAAAGCAGGGGACCAGGTGTGAGCCAGGAATCAGTGTCCCAGCTTGCGCCTAACCGCACACTGCACCTCTGCCTTTTAAATGCTTTTAAAGCAGAGGCATGGCATCTGGGACTAGGTGCGAGCGGGGACAGCTGATTCTCAGCTCACGCCCAGTCCCCTGCTGCACTTCTACCTCACCACAGAAGGAGCTGGTTGGGAACGCTCTTTTTAAGCCGGCTCCCACTCCCCACACCTTGCTGTCACTTGACTAGCTGCTTACATCCCTAGTTTATATCACAAAGGCTTTGCCAGTGTAACTGTACCAGCAATATAGAGCAGACCTATCAAAGACAGCAGCCTTCAGAACCTAAATTTATTAACGATGCCATAAGGCACATTAGATGTCCTCATTTTGGGAGTTCATAAAAGAATGAGAGATCTTTTCTGAGCTCTTAGGCCTAGTCTACAAGCCATTTTTGTACTGGTATTACTGTTTTGATCACTGGGGATTAAAAAACCCAACACAATAATTATACTGGTATAACCCCAAATATTGTTACAGCTATGCCACTATAAAGGTGCATTATATCAGTATAGCTTATACTTTTCTGTACAGGTACAAGCTATATATGTGTGCGCGCGCGCATGCGCCCACACACGCCCACACCTTGCCGAACTGCAGTGAGCCCCGCTCACTAGCCGCGCTGTCCAGTGATCTGCGCATGCACAGATCGTTCTGTGCATGTGCAGATCTCCCGAACCCGGCTCTTCCGGGTTGCAATCTACTTGCCACGGGCGAGTAGACTGCATTATTTGTCGAGCCATGTATATATGGGACATCTTAATGCTGGTGTAACTGTGTCCACACAGGGCCGGCCCGAGGCATTCTGGCACCCCAGGCAGGGGCGGGCCTGCCCGTGGGGAGCGGGCCCACCCCCGGGGCGCACAGCGCATGCGTGGCCCGGCTACAGTCACAGTGTATGCGCTGCCCAGCCCGGCCCAGCCAGCGCTGCTGGTGCACGTGCCACGCCGTGCAGGGCCCCACAGCCGTGGGGGCAAAAGCACTGCTGTCTGGTGCCACAGGGCTGGCGCTGCAGGAGCTGGGTGCGCGGCTCCTGATGGCAGCTGTAAGGGACGCTGCGTGCCCCTTACAGCTGCCATCAGGCACCCTGGGCAGCTACCTTGCTCGTCCATGCCTCCGTCCGGCCCTGTGTTCACACTACAGAGAATTGTATTGCTTAAACTTTACTGATATAGTTAAAATGATACAACACCTGCAGCTTCTCCCTTCAGGCACAATGGGTGTTAAACAGAAACTAACAGCCAGCTATATTAAAAAAACAAACCAAACCTAGATACCACAGAAAAACCAAAACCAAAAACCACACACTACAAAGCTGAAGTAAATATTGTATCTTTTAGATATACTTCCATACTGAATTTTATGAATACATTTCCTCTTCGGTTACATTTCATTAATATCAAACAGAACAAGCCTCTTTACCAATTATGTTATATTAATGTTAAGGATGTTAAATTGTGGTGATCTGGCTAATCGTGCAGTCCATACAATACTACACAATTGGTCAATAAGGGCCACTCTGCAGAGCCGCAGCAGGAGTAGCTCCAAGAGCCAGCTTGAGCTGGGACTGAGCAGTTCCATCTCGTGCCAGCTCTGGGAGCCATCTACGCTGTGGCTCTGCCCAGGTCACCACAAACAGAGGCTCCTGCCAGAGCAGCCTCTGCCCACGGCAAGCCTTGGCCTGCTGAGGGCAGAGGCAGCTTCATAGCAGCCACCTCTATCCCCCACTGACTCTCATAGAGCCAGCAAAGAGGTGGGGTAGGACAGGAAGCGAGTAGTTGATACTCCACTTGACTACTCAATAAGCATACGCTTATGCGTATCAGGTAGTTGACTAGTCAACTACTCGCTCACGTCCCTAATTAATATGTCTTCATACATACTATTATCATAATTTTTAGATATCTGGGGTGCTCATAAAATAAGTCCATTGGTCTGTGTCAAAGATGACATAAGAGTATATCGTATTAAGAGTATTAATCCCTTCCTGCCTCCCACTCCAGAAGTTTGTCAATATCCTTCAAAACCATGAAAAAACAATGCTTAGTATTTTGTACGCTTCATCAAGGTGCACAAGGGATTTTTTATTTTATTTAAAATTAAACAATAATGTAAGTGATATGGAGCACAATGAAAAACTTGAGGACCAGGAGCAAGAATCCTAAACATGCATGTAAAAAAATTATTACTAACATCTCTTATATAGGAAGAGAAACTACATACCTTGGCATCCCAGTCTTTATTAAGATAATATATACACGTGACACATCTTCCATCTCCATTTGGATTATCAACATGACGCACATATCCTGTTCCATTGCCTGGATAACAAGCCACCATTGCCTGCAATCAAAGAATCACCATATGAACAAAAGGGACATTTCTCCTACCTGTAAAAGTGAATTTCTGCACTTCCGCTATGTCAGTTCACACTTTAAACTCTTATTCCAATTTATATCTGTTAATAGGCATTAGTGCCCACTTGGAACGGTCTACACTGGTGTAGACATGGAAACAATTTTCAAGAATGAAAAGCATTTTTTTCTATTTTCAGTGAGTCAGGACTTGTGGAGCTGAAAGATTGAACAAACATGAAGTAGATTGAACAAACATCAACAAACTGTTTAACTTGCTCTTTATTTGACTAACTCTACAATGAAAGGCTGATCCACAAATGAAAACTTAAAGCTTGTTATAAAAAGTTACTATTCTTACAAAATGTTTTATATATAAAACAAAGCTGTTATAGAAGAACTCCTACCACACCTTCTAGCTGACAGTTTGTCTAGATAGGTATGGACAAATGGCAAATTCCAGGGGACATTCAGAACCAATAGTAAGTCCCACAAAAGTTGAACACTGAAGAGCTGAAGTGCTTCACAAATAGACATTAGCTAGGAATGTGCTGTCCACCTGTCAAATCCAGCTCACTGAAATCAACAGGAAAAATTTCAATGACTTTAATGGGAATAGAAATGGGCCCTTAGTTTCACTTTGCAGGCAGTTTTACTTCTGGTGCATTTCTCCTCTGCAATACCTCCAATAAAGAATAACATAGAAGACAAAAAAGAAAAAAAAGAAAGGTAAGAAGGAAAATAAGATTAGAGAAAAAACACTGTGCAGAGGAAGAAACAAGGAGGATGCAGACAGGATGACAACACAAATATCAAAATGAGGACTATTAAGCAATGATCTATCCCAGAACATCTGTAGCTTTCAGTATGTGGCTCATTCTGTGGTCAGGGCATAATGAAGGTTCCTCAAGAACAGTTCTAAAACTATCCCCTTTGTCAGACTGTCTCTTGCCTAGATTCCCTTCAGCTGCAGAGGTCAAGACTAGCTAGCAATTCAGCATATATCCCTCAAGAGTCTAAAATTACTTCTGGTTGGTTTACCTTGCACTAGGGATGTCAATGTATAGACGACTACAGGATTAACCAATAAGCCTAGGCTTATCATTTCATCTCGTTGACTACACATCACACCCACCCTTGCTGCCTCTGTATCAAGGTGGCCGGAGGAGGGGGGGGTGGAGGCGGTGGGATGAAGAGGCAGCAGTGCAAAGGGTGAGAGGAGCAGGTGGGAGCTGATACCTGTGAGGAGCCAGCTTTCAAACAGGCTCCTCGTGTGCCAGCTCTACAGACCCACCTGCCCCCCTACCCTTGCTGCCTCCTACAGAGGCAGAGGGGAGGGGGAGCAGGAAGAACCAGTGCTGAGGAGAGCCAGCTTAAAAGCCACTCTCCCCACCGGTACCGCTGCAGGGGAGCTGCCGCGAAGCAGCCTGTCTGCAGTGGCCCGAGCTCCCCGCAGACAGAGGCTGCTCCAGCATCCCATGGAGCAGCCTCTGTCCGTGGCAAGACTGGGCCCACTGCAGACAGAGTCTGCTGTCACCCCACACTGCTGCCTCTGATACAGAGGAAGCAACTTGGAATGGCAGGCTGATTTTTAAACTATCTCCCACCTGCCACCCCACGCAGCTGCCTCAGAGGGGGCAGCAGCACAGGATGGCAGGGAGTTCCCTGGGAGAGGGATCAGAAGTGCGTTGGCAGCCAACCCTGCCACAAGGGACTATTGAATAGTTGTGTAACCACTAAAATTTGATGCACTTACTCGACTATTCAATTACACACTAACATCCCTACCTTGCATCTTTTCCAGCTCTGTGATGTTCAG